GGAATGAAGCTAGAACTGTTAGCTGTCAAATAACATAGCAATAACATAGATGCAAATGACTCTAGCACTTCCAAAAATGAACTAGTGCCATCTGTTGCAAACATGCGTCATGACTTTTCCGACAACCCAATATATAAAACTGAAAACAATAAAAGAACAAGAAAAACAAATGAAGAAACAAAACTCATAGACACAGACAATAGTTTAGTGGTTATCAGGAGGGTAAGTGGGAAGGGGGGTGGTAGACGAGGGGGAAATGGGATCAAATATATGGTGATAGAAAGAAAACTGACTCTGGGTGGTGAACACACAACATGATATATAGATGATGTCTTACAGAATTTTAAACCTTAAATCTATGTAACTTTGCTAACAATTGTCACCCTAATAAACTTAAAAAAAAAGAACTGTCTTGTCATTTACTTAAGTCTTCTTTGACTTCTTTCATCAGCATTTTGCAATTTTCAGCATATAAGTTCTATACATTTTGGTAAATTTTTACCTAAGTAATTTCTTTGGAACAATCACAATAAAGGCTCTTGCCTACATTTTCCCCTGCTCTCTCTTCCTCCTAACCAACCTCAGTGCTTCCCCACATGGGAAAAACGTAGGCAAGAGCCTTTATTGTGGTTTTTTGGGGGGGAAAGGATGAGTGAGGCAGGGTAAACAGGTTTAGGATTAGCTAGTTTGAATTTCCTTAGGGTCTAGGGTATAGGTGCTGTCCCTAGCTGTCTGGTGCCTGGCCCTAGGGTGATTAGGGCAGGGTAATAGTGTCCCAGAATGAGGGAACCAAACAAAAGAAGTGGTTGGGGAAATGGGCTCTGGGTTAGTTGGTTTGCATTTGAAAGGCATGCTTGCCTCCAAGTTATTCACCATGTCTAGGAATTGGCTAGCTGGGGGAGGGCAATCTCTATAGATTCAGCAAGAACACAGCAGTCAAAGAATCAGATACAGAAAATAAAAGACATGGTTAAGCAGAAAGCCTTGCCTTATTCTCAATATTAGGAGAAAAGCATTCAGTCTTTCACTATTAAGTATGTTAATTGTAGATTATTTGTACACGCTCTGTATCAAGTTTAGGTAGTTCTCCTCTATTCCAAACTTGTTTTTATCATGAATGGATGTTGGATTTTGTCAATACTTTTCTTATAATTGATATGATCATATAATTTTTCTTCTTTAACCTGTTGATATAGTGGATTACATTGAATGGTTTTAAATGTTGAGTCTGCTTTGCATACCTGGAATGAAACTTCATTTGTCATGGTGTATAATTCTTTTTATACATTGTTGGATTCAATTTGCTATTTCGTTGAGGACTTTTATGCCTAAATTCATGAGATTGATTTTCCAAAATGACATTTCTATATACTAACAATGAGTACCAGTCTGCAGTTTTCTTAATTTCTACTGTCTTTGGTTTTGCTATCAAGGATATACTGGTCTTATAAAGTTAAGTTGAAAAGTGTTCCCTCTTCTACACAAACAAACACAATTAAGATCAAGTGAAACCTCATACCTTATACAAAAATTAATTCAAATGTAGTACAGGTCTAAATGTAAAACACAAAACTGTAAGGCTTTTAGAAGTAAACATAGGAAAAAAAATGCTGTAACTTTGGGTTAGTCAAAACATTCTTAGATATGAAACCAAAAGACCATCCATAAAAGAAAAAATGGATATATTGGACCTTATAAAAGTAAAAAAAAATTGTTCTATGAAAGACTGTTAAAAAGAATGAAAAGGGCTGGCCGAGTGGAGCGTTGGTTAAGTACTGGATTGGGATGCCAGAGGTTTGGATCCCACATAGGGCCAGTGACACTGCCCTCTACAGCTAAGATGCTGAACAACAGCTCGACCTGGAGCTGGGTTGCTGTGAGTCGCCGGCGACGGTGTAGGCTGCTGTGGGTTGCCGGAGACGGCGTAGGCTGCAGTCCCCTGCTGCAGTGGGCTGCCATAAGCTACCATGTGTAGCTGGCAGCCAGCGTGAGCGGCCAGCAGCTGCCGTGAGCGGCCGTCCAGAGGCTGGTGACTGATCTGCCTCGCTCGGGAAGAGCACAATGATGGTGCCAACTTGGGCCAGTGAAGCAACATCCTCCACAACTAGACTGAAGAACAAAACAATAGCAACTTGTCTGTTCCCCTTCCCCCGATTCCCCAGCGCTGTTCCCCTCCCCCAGTTCCCCAATAAAATCTTTAAAAAAAAATAAAAATGAAAAGACAAGTGATAGGCAGGAGAAAATATATGCAAATCATGTATGTGACAAAGTACTTGTACACAGATAAATAAACAACTCTTAAAACTCAACAATAGGAAAACAAGTAACTTAATTAAAAAAAATGAGCAAAGGATCTGAACAAACACTTCATTACAGAAAATATACGGGCGGTAAATAAGCTCATGAAAAGATATTAGGGAAATGAAAATTAAAACCACATTGAGATACCAGTACACACTGATTGGAATGGCAAAAAGAAAAAACAAAACACAAACAAAACTGAAAATATCAAGAGCTGTTGAAGATGCGGAGCAACTGGAACTCATATATTCTTGGTGGGAATGCAAAACAGTTTACTACGGTAAATAATTTTTTGCAGTTTTTTAATTATAAAGTTAAACATATACTTACCATACAACCCAGGATCCCACCCCTACTATTTTCCCAAAAAAACCTGTTTCACACAAACACCTACACATGAATAGCAGCTTTATAATTGCCCCAAACTGGTATAACCTTATATTGACTGACAGTGAATTCCTTTCCACAGAAGAAACCTATGTGTTGAAGATTATTTTAATAACGGACCCCAATTTGTTCATGCCTCTTTGTATGTGACCTTTTGCATTGTGACTTTCCACCTGATTTTGATTCTGGCCATGTGATTTGCTTTGGCCAATGGGACAAATGTGACACTATGAGACCCTTAAAAAGTACTTGTGCACTGTGACTTACCTTCTCTTACAGCTGGGAACCCTTCAGTTACAACATGAAGAAGCCTGTATTAAGGAAGAGAGATCCCCTAGCTATCCGTCATCTGAGGCCTCAGACATATGGGGTCCCAACTAGCCCCAGCTCGGCAGCTGAGCTGGCCTAGACCTTAACTGCCTACCCAACCCACAGATTCGTAAGAAATAATGTTTGCTGTTTCAAGCCGCTGTGTTTTGGTGGTTTGTTAAGCGGCAAGTGCTAATACAGTTGATATTGAGTTCATTCATCTCTGATCTGGTGGATCAAAAAGCAATTTAGTTGGGGCTTTCTTTTTCTTCGAAAGCAGTGGTCCTCAACCTTGGCTGCACATTGGAATTACCAGCAGGACTTTATAAAATAATGAAGACTGGATCCCACCCCATAGATACAATTTAATAGGTCTAGGATGCAGATTGGCCACTGCAATTTAAAACATTCCACCCTAAGTGATTCTAATGAGCAAAAAAGGCCAAGATGTTTCCTAATAATGATCTATTCAGTAGGGAATATGGAAGGAGTACAGTCATAACTCTCCTGCTCGTGTGTCTAACACATCTCCCTCAGAGAGGGTAAGTAGCAATGACAGTGGATACCAAGCTGGTCCCCAAGACTATTGATGAAAGTCTGAGAAACCAGGGCTTCACTGGTATTGAGTCGCTTATGACTCGTTCAGGATGCTACAATGCTGCCCTATTCTCCATGGTCCCAACAACAAAAATCCAAATAAATGTGACCTTAAGGGTCACCCAAACTACCCTCAAACTGTTTGCCAAATTGTGACTGTGACCATTTTTTATCCTGAGTTTTACTACTAACAATTACTTACTGAAAGCCTAACATTCTTGATGTAGAATGTTTATTTAATGCAGTACCTGATAACGTTATTCTCATTTTTTTTTTTCTGACTAAAAAATATCAACTCTTTGAGAAAAGGAGCTAGGGCTGTGCATAACTTATATGCTCAATGTACTTGTTATAATCAATTATGTGCCTAATAAAATGAGATTTACAATGAAATATAGTGACTTAAAAACAAAGAACTCAGAAACAAAAACTCAAACCAAACTAATAAAAAACCAAAGGGCTAAGGTTTATAGGAACCTTGAAATCAAACTCTGAGTAATTCCTACACATTAATTCCTATAATTAAACAATTCAAAGGAAACAAGTCTTTTTCCTTGCATAAATGAAACATGAATTATATAACTGTTTATAGACTATATCCATAAACATATTAAAATTCACGATCTCTTAATGATGAGTAGATAAATATTGGGAAGTTCACAATGAACAATAGAAACAATGCTTTATTTGGCTGAATTACCTAACAATGTCAGTGCTTTATGGTAAACAAACAATTCTTGGCATAGTACTATGCATTTTTCTGTTATAATGAACAATTTAAATGTCCTCTTTTTTCCTTCCTCTTTCAGAAACTGTTCATACACTCTTATTATCTTGATATCACTGAGTTCTACATCCTTTTATTCTTGAAAAAATATACTACATTGGTAGACTTGAATTTTTGTACCAAAAATGTCAAGTTTACTATTAACCACAAACTTGGTCAAACTCCTGATGTCTTTCAGAAGCTACCATATTTATCATTTGTTCCAAGTGACCATCTTAGTTTTTATTTTCATTTATTTATACAGCACACTTAGCTCTCCTCCCTAAGTGGTCAGTGAATAGTTTATAAAACCTAAAAAGGATGAGATCCAAGAGTAGTAAGGCCTTCAAGGTGTGCTTTAATTTTAAAAAGAATTAAGGTTCCTTAAACTCTATAGCAGCATATCCACCCTTCCAAGCATTCCGAAAATCTGAAGGGCAGATGCAAGAATTTTCTGTTACTACAAATAAAAAATCATCGCAGAGCTCGCAAACATTTCAAATACAATTAAGAGCAATGCAAATATGGAACTGCCTCTTCATGGAGTGGTCCTCTTCAGGAAGACAGTTTTTCAGATAGTTTTTTCAGAGAGTAGTTTATTTGAAGTGCATAGAATGAAATAAACCACTGCTATACAAAATAATAAAAACATTTTACTCTTTTATTTACAAATTAATGTCATAAACAAACTATTATATAATAAACATGACCAAACAACAAAGCAAATTACTGGCTTCCATCCATTAGGGCTAGAAAAATAAATTATTTAAATATCGAAATCAGTCTCCGGCCCTTCAGAGAAATTAATGTATTGCAAAAACATATTTTAAAATTATTCCTAATTGTTATTCAGACTTAAGATTGAGTACTGTTCTATTTTTTACATAGAACTGTAAAATCTTTTAGAAAAAAAGCTAACTTAGAGTAATCTTCTACTAATGTAAACTGAACTTCATAAAATATAAAAAGTTTATAAATCCTATAATTTGGATTAACTGAATTAATTATGATTAATCTGTAGAAATACAGAGCGCAAATTTGTTAATCATCTCCAATTAGATCTAACTGTTACACACGAGAGAAATTTTACAATGGTCAGGGTAAGACTTTATCCATATTCTTGAAAGGTAGCTTTGTTCCCAATAAATATTCCTTCTACCACTTCTGTATACTTTAGAACACATTCACAATCCAAAGAGAAACAATATATAGTTACTTGACTTTTTGTTTTTTTCTTGCTTGAAACTGCTCTGTTTTGTTTTTTATAGATTTAATCAACATTGACAAAGCAGGATCAACGGACCTCTTTTGTGATTCCTTTTGAACTTCACTCTCTTTTTTCTTTATTGCCTGAGTAAGTTCTTGTTCTTTCTGTTCTCTCTGCCGGGCTTTCTCCTCAAGGATTTTTTCCATAGCTTTTGTTTTCTTGAAATTAGGATCTGAAGGATCCAAATTGAACAAGTGGGAAGTATACATTGCCTGAAACCGTGCATCCTTTACATTTACCTGTAAATCCAAAAGGAAAATAAAAATAAATTAGTAAGCCAAAAGGTCCAGAAATGGTGCCAAATTTAAGTCAGGGAGTTATTGATTATATAAAATAAAAATGTGAGCAATTTGCATAGATTCATTAGAAAACTGTTTTCCCACAGATCCCCAATGGAGTTTTAAGGCCTACTTTTAGACCACGAAGTGCAGGGCACAATTTCCTTGCAAGGGAATGATAGTGGTCTATTATATAATGGCTGCAACTACAATGGTCACTTAGATTGAGTGACTGTAGAAATGGTTCTGAAGGCATACTTCCCTAACCTTACAGTCTGAAATCTGTTCCTGGATAAGTAAGCCAGAGATGATATCTCCTGCTGGAGCTTTATTCAAAGTCACCCCATTCGAAGTACATTAAAAAAATTTTTAACCTTGGTGCCAAAATGCATAGCTACTGAGGGTGATTCATAGAACAAAGGATTTAGAGGCTACTATGGAAAAGCAGGCACCTCTGCGACCAAAATTTGGTCAGATACAAGCTCCAAATTGATCTTGTATCTTTCTACAAAAACACTGTGGTTTCACATTTAAGAGTGTATTCTTAACTCCAGCCAGGCCTTTCGAGTGTTGCCAGGCACCCTGGTGACCAGCAAGAAAGGGAGCATGATTCACTGCCACCCGCTTTCCCACGGGAAAGATGAGTCCACCTGGAGATGGATCACAGAGTTATGCAGTTACAGTGAGGACAAGAGATGTGATACTGCCACTGTCACCACCAACAAAACACTCATGAAAAATGTCTTCATGGGCCGGCCAAGTGGCGCGATGGTTAAGAGCTGGCTTGGGATGCCAGAGGGCCCCGGTTCGGATCCCACATATGAGGGCCAGTGACACTGCCCTCCACAGCTAAGATGCTGAACAACAGCTCAACCTGGAGCTGGGCTGCCGTGAGTCGCCGGCGACGGCGTAGGCTACAGCCCCTGTGGCAGTGGGTTGCCATGGGCTACCATATGTAGCCAGCAGCCAGCGTGAGCGGCCAGCAGCCGCAGTGAGTGGCCGTCCAGAAGCCGGTGACTGATGTGTCTCGCCCGGGAAGAGCGCAATGATGGTGCCAACTTGGGCCAGTGGGACAACGTCCTCCACAACTAGACTCAAGAACTAAGGGATAGCAACTTGTCTGTTCCCCTTCCCCGATTCCCCAGCGCTGTTCCCATCTCCCAATTCCCCAATAAAAAACAAGAAAAAAGAAAAAAAAAGTCTTCATGCATGATTATTAACGTATGAAGACAGTTCTCATAATAGAAGGCTTGACTACAAGTCATTCTTTGATTTTAACTTTTCATAAGAAAACCAATTACCGAAAAGTTCAGTGGAGCAGCAACATAACAGAACTGACTTACAGACACTGGAGCTACAGAGTGGCCTCAAAGTCCCTCTACATGCTACTTAGAAGTTATCTGTATGTTCCTTCCATCCCTTGAACAAATTCAAAATTCCCACCATATTCTTCTGGGTCTATTCTTCCATGTTATGGGTGGGAAGTCATTAAGTAGTTCCTGGCAGCTATTTGTAGGTTTTCTGCACAGGGTTCAAACTCATGCACAGGAACTGTGTTGTCATTAGGAATATGGAGTTAGCAAAAAGAGGGAAAAGAGCGCAATGGAAACAACATACATAGCAATTAAAAAAGCATGGCTTACTGTGCCGGCCACTGTACACAGTGAGTGTGACACAATGTGACATGAACCAGCTATTTCTTAGTTGGGCTTTATTATGCATATCTTTCCCAGAGTGAGCATCACACTGAATGTGATTGTGACATTAAAAGTACTTATTTTGGTGCAACATGGCTACCAAAACACAAGCCAACTACTTCAGCTGGTGCTCAACCAAAGAAAGAGTGATTTGATCCACCTGGAGATGAACAGGCTGTGTAGGACTAAAAGCTGGTAGCTTTGGCTCCATGATCCTTCTGAAGACATCTGAAGGCTAACTTTGACTATACTCAATTTTTATTTCCAGAGCTGACTTAGGTTCAACACCAGCTTTAAAAGGCTCAGGACTTTGGTCCTTGGTTACCTCAAAGTCATCCTCTATTAATTCCTTCTTTTTCATAAGCTGTTTTTTCTTCTTTTTGCTCAGATTCTGGTGCTCCACAATCTTGTTGTAATTGAAGTGTTTCTTGCTCTCTTCCTCTTCATCCATCACGAGCAAAGCCATTTCAGCCTATAAAGTGAAAAAAAATGTTCAAATATACAACAGTGGTTTTTTTCTTCCCTCAAACAGGAGTATGGGACACAGAAATCTACTCTGGAAAGGAGACCCCAGTTACCAATGCTATGGGATAACATCTGTCATCCATAAACTGACTGTGGATTACCGAAACTCATAAAGAAACCCAGAGATCTTTGTATAGCAATAAGGTAAAAATCTTTAGAAGCAACAGCACTGAGAACAGGAGAGGCGTGAAAGTTTGTATTTAAAAACCAGACTATACTCTACTTAGTATAACTGATTGGCAGACTACAAGTATAAGTCCCCAAGTCATCCAAATAAAAACTCTCATTTTCCCTTTGGTCCTTTTAAGCAATGACACAAAATATAGCAAACATGTACTATTTTGTGATACAAACTACTTCCCAAATATGCATATTTAAAACAAGAAATTTCTTTTTTCTTTTGCCGTTTTTGTCTTCACTGTTTCAATACTGATACATTCTATGAAGGTGGGATCTTAATATTTGCTTCTGAAATCTAATATATTGTCTCTTCCACTAAATAGGTGTTTTCTACAGACCATGGGATTAAACGTGAACCCTCAAGAACCAAGTAAATACCCATGTATATAGAGAATATCCAAAGTATGCTGCCAGACTTTTGTGAATTTTTCTATATTACCACTTTACACTGCTTTAATTTCCTTTCCTTCCATCACTGGCACCTGCAGTTGGCCTTCTTTTTAGAGCCATTTTCCACAAAAGAGACTTTTTTTGTGACCCTTAATCGTAAGAACATTACAGTATATGCAATAAACAGTGAACATAAAAAATGCATTAGGATGCAGAATTTAGCCGACCAATCAGGCTTACTCCGACAGTGATACGACTGTCAGTCACAGGATGCCTCTGTAAAAATACATATTAATTCCTCTGTGCCATGGATCTTTGGAGTCACTGAAGATAAGGTTCACTGCATGTCCAAGAAAGAGTTTATGTTTGCATTAAACTTATGTTTTTTACAATAATAAAAAGAGAGATATTAGCATTTGACAAGCCATGAAAGCTGTATTACAGGACAGATTCAGATTAAACTAAAACTTATGGCAATATTATTTTCAGGTTTTAATAGTAGTAGTATTATTTTTTTTGCCTGTTTTAGTAACGGTTTTATTTATTTATTTTTTTTAAGCTGAGCCATCATGTCACCTGTTGGTAGCTCAGCGGCAGCTCAGTTCGGGCCGGGCATCGAACCGCTATTGCTCAGAGCTTGCACTCTTGAGCAAGCTTTTAATCAACTGAGCCACTCGGCCTGCCCTTAGTAAGGGTTTTTATAATGAGGTATTTTCCTCTTAATCTCAAAAGGATATGCCTTGGGTTTGAGTTAATTTTAACTTAGTATCAGTAGGAGAAATATTTGGTAAAAAGGTAATATTTAAAAACTATGCTGCTGGGGCCAGCAGAGTGGCTCAGTTGGTTAAGAGTGTGAGCTCTGAGCAACAGGGTTGCCGGTTCGATTCCCACGTGGGGCAGTGAGCTGCGCCCCAGTTGAGCTGCCACTGAGCTGCCAACAGGTGGCAGGATGGCTCAGCTGGTGAGAGCACGAGCTCTTAACAACAAGGTTTCTGGTTTGACTCCCACATGGGATGGTGGACTATGCCTACCTGCAACTAAGATTGAACATGGCACCTTGAACTGAGCGGCCACGAGCTGCCTACAGGCAGCCGGATGGCGACTGGACTTGGAGCTGTGGTAGCTGTGCCCTCCACAACTAAGACTGAAGGACACCAACTTGGCTATTCCCCTTCCTCAGTTCCCCAACACTGTTCCCCTTACCCAATTCCCCAATAAAATCTTAAAAAAAAAAAAAAAGCTAAAATATTTAATTATGTTTTATAATTTATAAATTTTATTGCTAAAATCAGTTATTTTTTTTATTAGAGAGGAACACTAGAAACTCATGTAGATAATTTCATTTAAATTGTACATACCAGTTATCAACTAAGTATGTAATGATCATATTTTACCTTTTGTTTTTCTATTTCAGCATCTTCCTCTGGAGATGTGCTATCTTTGGCAGATTTCATTGATTTTTTCTTTTCTTTTATACCTGGCACAATAAACCAACATAGGAGGGTTAAAAATTATAAGTCTATCAGCAACAATATGTTTATGCTAGGAACAAAAATGCAAGGTATCTAGGAGTAATCTTATCAATAAATGTATAGAAACTAGATAAAGTAAAAAATATATATTACTGAGAGAGGATTATGGGTATGAATAAAATAAAGACAGTACATCTGGATGGGGCAACTGAATACTGTAAAGAGGCAATTTCTTCTGAAAGTAATGTATAATTAGATCATCAACTAAGAAAGAAAAACCATAAGATCATTTCAATAGATATAGAATAAACGTGTGATAAAATTCAATATTCATTCATGATAAAAAACATACATTTAATGAAATCCTAAATAAAATTTCATTCAAAAAAATCTTTACAAAGATTAACAAGATAGAGTTGATATACTAGTGGTACAGTCTACTAAAATGTATTACAAAGTGAAAATAACCAAAAAATACTGAACTATATATAATGAGAAAAACAGAACAGTATAGCTTAATATATAATAAAATGTAGCATCATATATCACTGGAAAAAGAAGGGATTATAAAATAACTGGTGCTGGGCAATTTGTTTTGCTTGGAAAAAAAATCAAGTTATTGTCTTACCTCATAGCGTATGGGAAAATAAAATGCAGATGGATTAAAGAGGTAAACATTAAGACAAAAAATGTCAGGAAATACAGGGGAATAGCTACCTGATCTTAAATAAAAGAAATATTTTCTTAGCATGAGAACACGAGAAGAAATCAAAGGAAAACAAACCCCAAGTGATTTGAATATATAAACTCTTAAAACTCTGTATATAAAAAAAACTCATCTGCAAAATGAAAAATTCACCTTTATGATAACAATTTTACAGTAACTACCTGCAAGTACAAGTTTAACAAAACGCTTTCTCCTTCGCTAAAGACAAATTTGATCTTTGGTTAACTTTCTAGCTCTATTACCAGGCAAAATTACTTATGGTCAAGTGGTTCCTGATTGGAAAACTACTTTTATTTCCAGGACTTCTAGAGACCACAAGATGTTAGGTGAGATGCTCTCATCCTGAATCAGAGGTAGTACTGTGTGCAGTTAACGGCACTTAAATTCTGGCTCTACCACAGCCTAGCTGTGGCAGTTTGTGCCTGTGTCTTATCTTGTATATATGTATATACATATATACATACACCGGGAGGTGCCAAACAATGTACACAGGTGGACTCTTTGGTCAACGTTGCTCAAGATGTAGTTGGCAGTAATCAGAAGAGTCTGGACACTGAGGGTAATCACTTTGAGCATCTCTTGTAATTGCAGAAGTTAAACGTGACTTGTATTCATCTTTTCTTATCAGTATATATTCAGTATTACAATTTTAATAGTTTTTTCATTTCTTAAAATGTGTATACACTTTTTTGGCTCCGTGTGTGCATGTGTACACATAAACATACACATACATATGCATATATATGATGTCCTGGGTTCTTGACGATCATGCTGATGATACCTTAAATTTTTTTTCCCATTTTGTGTCTGTTGGAGTGAGAGGGATTCGAAGGGAGGAGATTTCAGGGGGCTAAGGTATAGAAGACTAGTTTGAAAGGCAAGAAGGTTCAGAAGCTACAAAGCCATGTCTGTTACTCCAGAATGTTAACACCCAAGTCAATCTTCTTTGGATAAGCTGTGTTCTGTCTTTCCAATTCTGAGAAAGCAACAGTCTCTAAAGTAATAATGATTAATGTTTACACAGTACTTGCTGTGTGTCAGGCAGTAGTACTGTTTATTCACTTTACATATATTAACCTGCTGAATCCTCACAACAATGCTATGAGATAGACTTATAATCCTCATTCTGTGGATGAGGAAACTGAAGCACAGGGAGGTGAAGGAGCCATTATTCAAACCAGCACTATGGCTCAGGCTCTCTACTGTTAACCACTACATTATACTCCTTTATTATCAAATGGCATTCCCCTTGTAACAGACCTTTCCATTTACAATGTATTTTGATGTGAAGTAACCAAGTACAATTCACAGAACGTATAATGATGGTTGAATAACTGCAGCTCATGGGGGATAATAGAAAAAACAAAGCCTAAAATCCAAAGAGGCTTTAGACACTGCTTCGTGTGCACTAAGTCTGGCTGTACTTATACAGCCATGCCCAGCCGAGAGCGTGCCAGAAAAAGTGCTGCTAGGTTCACCCCTCAGTGCCACCAAGGTATTTGCCTGCACTTCCAAGCAGAAATATCATTGTATGCAGCCCTCCTCCTTAGAATTAAAATCTTTAGTGCTCCTTTTTCAAATGGTTTTCAGGGAACGATATGTCTTAGGATTATATCTTTTCCCATTTTAAATATGTGTATGTATTTATATATATAAGTATCATCAACGTTTCCCTTTCTTAGGGTCTGACTCTCACACCCTAAGTTTACCTCTGCTCCTGTGTACTCAAGGCTAGAGCTCCTTTTGAAGTGAATGGACAAGTGACAGGAAAACATCAGGCTGTATGTGATTAATACATAAAGGAGATAAAGATCTTGACATGCAGCTGCGGGAAATAATTTCAAAGAGCCCACAATGAACTGTTCCGGATTTCGTAACAACCTGGTGAAAAGTCATAAAAATAAACTTGAAAGCAAGACTGTAGCAAGGGAGGAAAAAAAGAAGCTCCAAGACGGTCAGGGTTACAAATGATATCCAGTTTTAGCGTGACGAAAATGTCTCTGCTCACAAAGAATTTACTGTGTGCTAGGCTGAACTGTTTAGCCAAAAGATAAATAATGTGTAGAGATTCTTTCTGCACTGTTAACAAGATCACTTAAAGAGGGCACATTTTAATTTCTATATTTTTAAAAAGCATTTTTTCTTCTTTGTAAAGTTTTCAGACCTAAGTTAAATGAAGAGTTGTATGGAAATAAAAGTCCTGTTCTGAAATGTTATCTTTATTTTTCAGTGAATCATTTGACAAGTAAGAAACCACATCTCTTTGGACTGCTACAAAAAGTACATATGGACTGATTATATTGTAATAATTTGAATACTAACAGAGACTAGAAATCAGATGTTAGAGTTTTATAGTTAAAAAAAATAAATCTAGGGGCTGGCTGAGTGGCTCAGTTGGTTAAGAGCTCGCTCAAGTGTGGAAGCTCTGAGCAACAGCGGTTTGATTCCCAGCCCGAGCTGAGCTGCCGCTGAGCTGCCAACAGGTCGCAGGATGGCTCAGCTAAAAAAAAAAACAAAACAAACAACAACTCTAAATAATCCTTATTGAGGCTACTACCTTTTTAAGCAAAAAATGTAACAGAATACATCTATGGAAAAAGATGTGTTGCAAAAAATTGATCTGTAAAAGGGTTATCTGTTTCATTTTCCATTACTGGTAATGTCATAGAATTGTTCCCATAAAAAACTTCCTTCACAGGGTTTAGTTAAGCACCTCTTGTGAGAGAGCAGTTCAGAAAATTCACTGGAGGGCAGGCAAGGTCTCAGAGCTGACCAGATGGGAGTGGTAACCCCCTATGGATTCACTCTTTTTGCAGCAAGTTCCTGCATCCAAGATCAGTTGCCCATAATCAGATGCAGTCTGTTAGTCTTCCTCTGGACCTGAGCATTCTGACTTTGCTTGGAAATCCAGCAATTTCTGGTGTCCAGCTTTTATACATATGGGGCCTGCCTCTGGCTTTGATCTATACAATGTACTTGCAGAATTACAAAAAGTAAAGGTAGACCACTGGCATTCAGGTTCTACCACCTACCACTGGCCCGTGTGCAAATCAACTATGTTTTTGAGCTTCAGTTTACGCATCTACAAAGTGGGCTGAAGTTTGGATTAGAGGACAGAATGCACAGAAAAGCATGTGAAAACTGTAAAACAATATACAAGCAGTACATGGTAAGCACTTAACAAACTGGTTGAATGAATCAAATATGTGTACCATGTTAGATTTTCATGGTGGTTTATCAAATATCTAAAGACAAAGGATACATTTTAATAGGGTACATTTACATGTGATGTACTTTATTTCATTCCTACTTCTTCAAAAACAAAATCTATTACTAAGGAATTTATGTAATTAGACAATAATTAGCAAATTTTTCTAATATTTCATTTTTAAAAGAAAACAAAAACTTTTACTTCATTCTAGAAGTAGTACATTTTTGAAATTCTCACTTAATATCAAGTTTGCAGTTTAGGAAAAAATAGAACAATTATAGCAAGTTTACAGTGTAAGGGGAAAAACAGAAGAAAATATTAGAAAAGATTTCTAGTACTCAAATTGGCTCCTAACCCAAGCCAAACTCAAGGTCTGGTATCAATCAATGAACTCAACTCCTTCCTCTATGTTTTGAAGAGTGTGTAAGTTCAGCTCTATGGGGTTGCCTAGGGCAAAGGTGTTATAAATGTACCCAAAGCCATCTGGCTTAAAATGTCTCTGTCCTTTGGCTCAAATAAACTCATATAAAAATAATAAAAAAAGATGTCTCTGTCCTGCTCAACCATGGGACTTGAACTATACACCCTTCCAAACACTAATATTGCTCCTTCTCAGTTTCTTAAGCTTTCTACCTTCCAGGTAGTACCTTCTCCAGTATGATGGAATATGTTATTATATATGGAATATATAATAGTATGTTATGTAGGCTTTATCTAACCTCAGAGCCCATCAATGCTTTTCTCCTCTCATCAATGCTTTCTACTTCCAGCACCGTGGTTTGAAATACTATTTTATTGATTTGTCTGTATTTACACTCTGACTTCTCAGTATATCTCCTAGACTAATAATACTTCTACATGAATCTCAAAGCAATTACACCCAAACTGAACCTACTGACCTTACTTGCCACCCAAACCTATTGTTCCTATATTTCTTTTTAACTCAGTAAATGAAAGAGCATTCTTCCAAGACTCAAACAAAAAACCTAGGAGTTAGCTAAACAACTTCCTTATTCAAATAAATCAGCAAGTCTACCTCCAAAATATATCTAGAATCCCACTCACTTTTCTCCTTCCAATTCCATTACTGGCATGTCACCTAAACCAGCCATCATCTCTTGTCTAGACCTTTGCAAAAGCCTGGTCTCTCAGCTCTCACCAGACCCTTTCTTTAATCTGTTTTCTTCACAGGAACCAAAGTACTCTGTTAAAATATATACCAGATCATGTCACGTCCTTGCTTAAAGACCCTTCAGTGGCTTCCCACTGTCAGTAGAATAAAATCCAGATTTGTTGCCATGACAACATGGCCCTGCAGGGTCAGTCCTATATCCCAGTCTGGCCTCATACAAAACCCCCTCTCTGACCATGCTCCAGCCACAGTGGTGTCTCTCAATTTCTCAACGCAAGTTCTTTCTCACCTCATATCCTTTCTACCCACCTTTCCCTCACTTACAATGCCCTTCCCCCAGCTCTTTATGTCTGATTCCTTCTCATTCTACAAGTCTCAGCTCTAATGTCACCACCTCAGAGAAGCCTTCTTTGCCTCCCTGTGTAAAGTGGCTACCCTTCTTCCTCCTCATTATATCCTCTATATTACCTTATTTATTTCATTTAAATATTCTCAAAGTATTCTTACTTGTTTTTCTGTTTAGCCTGTCTTCCCCAAACCATAGATTCCTCAAGGGATGTAATTTTGCTTGTGTTATTACTGCTGTATCTCTAGCCTAGCGGAGTGCCCAGCACCTGGTAGGCACTCAAATATATTTATTGATAGAATGAATAAACAAACATGGCAAGATATCATTTTTTTGGATAGGTTTTATATAAAAAAAATTCTCAGCCTTTCTGTTATTCTTTTTGCTTTAAGAAAACAACCTACCCAGATATAAGCTCCTACACAGTATCTGAAATCAAAAGTATATTGAAAGCAAGCAAATTTTACTTACACTTTCCCTTGGAACGTCTGATACTTACTTTAGAAAAGAGCTTATTCACAATTGAAATGTGCTGATTCCAAGAAATAAGCTACCCCAAGCCATCAAACCATTTAACTTACTCTTTGAATCCTATCCTAAGTTCTGCAATCTGACTAGATTTCACAAGCCAAATGAAGCACTTTGGAATGAGAACAAGGAAACTATAATGCTTCGCATTTCTCCATATAATAAACTTGGTTTCCTGAGCAAGAATCAGACTAAAATCCATCATCTTCTAGAAATGACCGCTCAGGTATGATAAAAAGCAGAACATGTTAAGTTTCCATTTCCCTTTCCAATTTCTAAGAATCTCACATGCTATAATAGACTTTATTCATCTTGATCTCCTTTTCATCAATAAAATGTCAGTGCTAAAAGGCTGTAACAACCAGGAAATAATTTTGAGCAATTTTGACTTTCCTGTTGAGAACTATTCTGGCCCACTAGTCATGAGGGACAAGAAGCAGGGAAACTTCATAAAATCCTTCTCTTTACAATGCCAGCTTGGAGTGGCTCCAAGAGCAAGCCTTTTGGGGCTCATGTGTGTGGTATTTAGATCAGGGCAAGGCAAAACGTATGAGAACAAATGGAAAATGCTTACAGTGGTCTCTGCACTGACTGGTCCAAGTATGGCCCGAACCTTACCACACACATTCATACATACCAAAAAGGTAAGAATGAAAGCATTCAGGAAAGAATGAGTGGCACATATGCAATGAAACAAGGCTCCTTGGATATTGGAAATCAGATACCAGATAGTTTAGGGACTCAAGGAAAAAGGGGAGGAAGCTGGCTTTCAGCTATAATAAAGCAAGATAAATGCAAAAAGGATAACATGAAACATAGATGTTTTTGTATATTTGAGCAGAAGAGCTTTTATACTATACCATCATGTAAACATTTTTAAAAATTTGTAAACATATCACATAAACAAATTTATTTTACACTTTCAATTATTCATAGCCTTTGCAAAGAGAGACCTAGAATGGATGTGTTATAAAAAAAGCAGTGAAAGCCACAAGAAGATGACTATTCCTTTTTCAGCCTTTTATAGTCAATCTGTGTATAAGGATATTTCCTGGAAAGGAATTCCCAGTAAACTGTTAATCATGCTACCAAAAGCCTCCTATACTGAAACTATTCCTTGTATATATAGGGGGTAGGCTGACCCTTCCTAATCTGATCAATGGTTATACCTCACAAGACAGAATATGGGGGTATACAAACTCTAGGAATTTTAAAAGAATGAGTAGCTTATGTTGTTTCTACCTATGTTATCTTTTTTTTCAGATTCCAATTGAAAACTACAAATGTGTGTTGGCTTACCTATTTTTTTAACTTCTTCAGCAAAGTACGGGTCATTCAAATCAACATCAGAGGGAAGTTCATCTTCACTGGTCTCTTCAGCAAGAGCCTGAAAGTTGGATATAAAATATATACAGTTTATTACAAGGACCATCATACACACACACACACACACACACACACACACACGAAGGAAAATAACATTGATTTCTTTTAAATCACATACTTTAAAATTAAACCACTTTTTCAAATGGATCAGTTTATAAAATAACTCTCATCTGAGTCATTCTTGTTTTGTTCAACAAATGTTTATGGAACACTTAATAAATGGAGGAAACTATGTAGGGCCTTTGGGAGAAATGGAAGTTATCAGATACATGGTTTCTGTCTTCAAAAGTTTTACAATCTACTAAAGGAAGTTAGATATATAAAGACATATACATCAGTAATAATAATTCAAGATAGGAAGTGCCAAAAGGGACAAAAATAAAAATGATACTGACATTCAAAGGAGAATACTTTTAGATGGGTGGTCAGTGGGTAGAGAGGTAGCCTTATCTCTCAGAAAATTGAGAAATAGCAGTACTGTCAATAGTATGAAGCAGTATATTGTGGTTATCTTTTAAATTATTATTTAAAATAATTTATTTGCGGGTTAAAGATAATGATTTTTTTTATTATGAAAATTCATACACACACACACACACACAGAGCATGTCAAAAAACGTACAGAATTTTAAGAAAGGAAAAAAACTATTAAAACTGTAATACTCAATATATACTGATAACAAAATATGAATACAAGTCACATTGGACTTCTGCAATTACAAGAGGTGCTCAAAGTGGTTACCATCAGCGTCCAGACACTTCTGATTACGGCGAACTACTACTTGAGCAACGTTGACCAAAGTGTCCACTTGTATACATTTTTTGGGCACCCCCAATATATATATATATAAAAGCAGTAAGGAATGAACATCCCCCCTGTCCTTATCACCCAAATTTCAACAATTATCTTGTTTTATCTAAAATCTACCCCTAAAAACTCTTGGGCTATTTTTAAGCAAATGTATTGGTTAAATTTTCCCTAATCAAATTTGAACAAGCTGTCTACTAAATTAACACGTTTAATTAAAAATTCAAGTCTATATGGGCCGGCCGAGTGGTGCGTTGGTTAAAAGCTGCCTTGGGACGCCAGAGGGCCCTGGTTCGGATCCCACATATGAGGGTCAGTGACACTGCCCTTTACAGCTAAGATGCTGAACAACAAACAGCTCAACCTGGAGCTGGGCTGCCGTGAGTCGATGGTGACGGCGTAGGCTGCAGCCCCTGCTGCAGTGGGTTGCCATGGGCTACTGTGCGTAGCCAGCAGCCAGCGTGAGCGGCCAGCAGCCACCATGAGCGGCAGGCAGTCCAGAAGCCGGCGACTGATCTGCCTCGCCCGGGAAGAGCGCAACGATGGCGCCAACTTGGGCCAGTGAAACAACGTCCTTCACAACTAGACTGAAGAACAAAAGGACAGCAAAAGGGAACAAAAGGGAACTTGTCTGTTTCCCTTCCCCCAATTCCCCAGCGCTGTTCCCATTCCCCAATTCCCCAATTTAAAAAAAAAAAATCTTAAAAAAAAAAATTCAAGTCTATTAAATAAATAGAACACATGTAAATTGAGATCAGGTTGACCAGATTGAGTTTATCCCTAGGAACTAAAACATGAGTCACTTTAACAAAAACATGTAGCATGCATATTGCTAAATACAATCCTGCATGCTGAAGAACACCCACCAGCCCTAAAGAATATTCATTTTGATATTAATATCCTTTTAAGGACAGGACATCTAAAATTTTTTTCATCAAATTATAATAGATTCAGCAGTAATTGTTTCTAACAAAGATTATGGAATATTTATATATCTAATTACATATCTATTCACATATTTCTTTGTTTTTTAGATCTAAACTATAGCTATATCAACTATGGCACATAAACATGTATTCATATCTTCAGTAATAATTTCTTGATATCAAAACTGAAGTCACAGAGAGGAAAAGGATAAAATATTTTTAACTTGAAGAAAACTCTGGAACTCTTCTATACATGGAGACCCTGTGGAGTTGGACGGGATCTGCTGGAATCAGCAAGTCCAGTACACAGCACTGAGTCTAGAACAAACCGGGCACTCAACAAATGTATTTTTAATGTTATTGATAAACAAGTCCATTCTTAGCCTAATGAAGAGAAAGTGAGTAGCCAATGAAAATCAAAGAGAATAGCTGCTAAAGGTCTCCGAAACAAGTGACTATTTTATTAACCCCATAAAGACCCACTTGTATGTCGTCCAATAAACTGATGGCTTAATAACTTGTGGAATTATTCCATTTAAAAAACATTTCATTGCCTACTTAGTTTTAAAGGACATTCTAGGGAAGAAGAGAGTAGTGTATCAATGGGGACCAGGGCTCTTACACCATTTTCTCATTTTACTATCCATTTCCAGAAACACTGACTATAATAGGGATACAAACATTACTCCACTGCATCATTCAGTTTTGCAGCCTCTACCTTTACAAGTGCTGAAAATCACAGCTGTACCAAAAACACTTGGTTACATAGTAGAGAGAAAATACAGTATAGTAGAAGAACACTGACATGAGAGAGCTGGATTCTGGTATCAGCTTGGCCATTATTAATAAGCTATGTATCCTCAGACAAATCAATTAATTTTCCACAACTGTAAAACATCAGAGGTGGACAAGAAATGATGATTTAAGATTCCCTGAGTTGTAAAAATGCTGTGATTAATGATACCATCTTAAGGCGATGACTTTACTGTCAGGATGCTGCATTTCAGTGATGAGTATTTTCAGTGGCAAAAACCATAGTGGTCTCTGCTGTTACTAAGGTCTCTAACTCTAGAAAATGTATTATCGATTCATGGCAGTCCAATCAGATTTTTCATACATAACAAATAATCACAGAGGAAACATCCTTAATAAAGAAACTTAATGATAACAAGATGTTAAAAGATCCATATAATACTGAAAAGTGAAAAATGCGGGTTAAGAAATAGAAATGTATAGAAAAAATTTCATTCATATTAAATACTTTTATATGTCAAGTCAAGAAGTCTGTATGCACCTCCCTTCCTCAAAAACAGAACAGAATCAAACTGTTTTACATCTAGGTATCAACTAAACTATGTATTTTATTTAGGTAGCATGTAAATGTAAAATATTAGGTCATGGCAATTAAAGTAGCTCTGGGCTTTCACCAGTCTTTTTACATTATTATGTAGCCTTGCAGAAAATACTTAATCTATTGAGTATTCTCTTTCCTCTTTCTTAAAATTGTGATACATGGCCTACTCCAGTGAGTGGTTACATTATGAGATAATGGATGCTAAGCAGCTGGTACATTCTGATACATGGTTGTTGTTCAATAAATATTTGGTCATAATTATCCTTGATACCTTCTGTTTCTTTTTCAGTCTTTTTTTCTCTTTCTTCTTCTCTAAAAATTGTTCCCAAGGGGTCAGTTTATCCTTTCCTTCCAATTTCTTTTTGACCCTTTCTTCTGCACTTTCTTTAAGACCTAAGGAAAAAACACGAAAATAATTTAGTTTAAAATGTTATATCTTTATTCACTTAAAATTGTAATTTGCCAAAAAAGGTAATTTACATATGTTTACTAGAGTAACAAGATAAAATCCAACACTGAATTTGGTAATACTCCAAGATCATAGAATAATGTAGGATCAACTAATATCAAAGCTATTTCCTAATAGCAAACAACAATAAACCTAACTAAACCAAAATAAACAAACCAACCAAGCAACTTGATATATGATCAAGCCATTGAAGAAAAATCCTTTTGTTTAGGCCCAAACTTCATTGCTCTATACTCAATTTAATGGTTTTGAGACTCTGAGAAAATTCTGGAACAAAATCTCAGGCTATGACTGCCCAAGTGAAAGCTTGTATGCCCTGGAAACTATAGGTGATTAACAAAAATTGATTAGGAAGGCGATCCCTGTTGAAATACCCCAGGAGGAAAGAATTCTCATAATCATTCCTCAAGCACTCTGTGAAGCCACATCTTTAAGATCAAAAGGACCACTAAGTTTAGATTCTACTTTGTATGGTTTAACTCTTTCAGTGCTGTTATTTCTTCTTGTACTTCATCTCTAAAGGTCTTCGTTCCTTATATTCTACAGGTCCTGAATGACGTTTCTAGGTGACTTAAGTAGTAATAACTGGAATGGGGTGATAAGGTGAAAGCAGCAGCCCCAAGGCTGCTCTATCAGTCCATGAAGACCCACATTCCTGCCAAAGTAAAGGAAGTGTGACGACTGAGTTGTCCCCTTCGATAATAAAAATGTTTGCTTTATTTTGTAGTATGTTTTGGAGGTCATGGTTGGATTTGGGGAGGAGGGGGCCTTCCATATTTAGATGACACAAAGTCCATTTAAAAATACAATAATGACAGATCTAAGATGGTGGAGTAGATAAATGCTGTGCTTGCCTCACCACGTGAACACATCAAAATTGCAACTAAATTATAGAACAATCAAACTGGAGAACCATCTGAAGTCTAGCTGAACAGAAGCTTTATAACTAAGGATAAAAAAAGAAACCATGTCAAGACTGGTAGGAGGGGCAAAGACGTGAAATGTGCTGGCCCCAAACTTCCTGGTGGTGGTTGAAAATCAGGGGCGGGGGTGTGTGTGTGTGGGAGGGCTGTCTTGGCCACAGAAGTTCCCCCTGGAGGAGTGAGAGACCCCAGCCCCACGCCAGGCTCCCCAGCCTGGAGTACTGGTGCTGAGAAAAGGAGCCCCACAACATCTGGCTGTGAAAAATAGTGGGGATTCCAACAATCTTGGTGAGACAGAAGGCTGTGGGAAACCCAGATGTCTTCTTAAAGCGTCTGTGCACAGGTTCACTCGCTTGCAGGCATTCACCCTGGGCTCAGGTGGAGGGTCAGTGACTCAGGGGCCGTTGGAGACAAACAGGGCAAGATTGAATTGTGTGGCTTTGGAGCAAGGGCTGGAGGGACACTTGATATTTTCCCTGTGTAGGGTCCTCTTGCCATATAGCTGACAGGTGGGTGTCATCTTTCCTGTGTTTAGCCCTCCCCCAACACCCATGGCCAAATCTGAACCTGAATTGGTCTGATGAGCTCTGCTCACTCCACCTTGGTGACTCACTGAGACCCTCCCACACCCAGCTCTGTGCTGCAGGGGGCTTACATATGCCAGCAGCTGACAGCAGGCCTCAGAGTGTCCTGACTTATTGTGGAGCTACCCCACAATAAGTCAGGACACTCTGATGGCAGCCATCCTTGGCTCACAGCGTGGCCTCTCCCACATGCCTCCAGGTTTAGCACAGGCAGCAAACAACTGTGAATTGCTTGTAGCTCCTACCAGGTGGTCCCGGGCCAGTCACAGGCAGGGGGTGACCTGGGCCTGCACCAGAGCCCCTCCTAAGAGGCCACAGAACCAATATACTTGGAGGTTGGCTTCAAACCACAGCAAGGCACCACCCAATTAGCCCACAAGTGGCACACCCAAAGGGTGGTCTCAACAGACACCAGAGCCCACTGGGGGAATCCTCCTCACAGCAGCCCGTAAGCTGTGGACGTGGCCAAACACCATAGCCAGTCAGCCTGTGAGTCAATTTCACCTACTGATGTGCCAACAGAAATCAAGGCTCAAATGTAACAGGAGGGCACACACAACCCAAACAAGGGACACTCCTGGAGCACCCAGTGCAGGTGACCAGGGATACTGTACCACTGGGCACCTACTATATAAGGCCACCGGCAAGACTGGGAGATACAGCAGATCTACCTAATACATAGAAAGAAACACAGAGAGGCAGCCGAAACAAGGAAACAAAGAAATACATCCCAAATAAAAGAATGAGTAAACTCCAGAGAAACAACTAAACAAAATGGAGGCAAGCAACTTACCAAAGTCAGAGTTGAAAACACTGGTTATAAAGATGCTCAAGGAACTCAGTAAGAACTTCAACAGAGAGATAGCAGGCATTAAAAAGGACACAGAAACCATAAGAAGAACCAGTTAGACGTGAAGAATACAATAACCAAAATGAACAATGCACTGCAAGGAATCACCAGCAGACCAGATGAAGCAGAACATCGAATCAGTGATTTGAAAGACAAGGTAGCAGAAAACACCCAATCAGAACTGAAAAAAGAGAAAAGAATTAAAAAAATGATAGTTTAAGAGACCTCTGGGACAACATCAAGCATATCAACACTTGCAAGATGAACTCAAAGAGGCCCACACCAACACACATTATAATTAAAATGGCAAAGGTTAAAGTCAAGGAAAGAATCCTAAAAGCAGTAAGAGAAAGACAACTAGTTACTTACAAGGAAGCTCCCATAAGATTGTCAGCTGATTTCCTAACAGGAACTTTGCAGGCCAGAAGGGAATGGCACAAAATATTCAAAGTGATGAAAAGCAAGGACCCACAACCAAGATTACTCTACCCAGAAAAGCTATCAGTTAGAATCAAGGACAGATAAAGAGCTTCCCAGGCAAGAAAAAGTTAAAGGAGTTAATCACCACCAAACTAGTATTACAAGGAATCTTAAATAAAATAAAAAATATGAATAATAAAATGGCAATAACTACATACCCATCAAACAATTACTTTCAATGTAAATGGATTAAATGCTCCAATAAAAAACACAGGGTGGCTGAATGGATAAAAAAACAAAACCCTTACATATGCTGTCTATAAGAGACTCACTTCAGATTGAAAGACACACATAGACAGAAAGTAATGGCACGGAAAAAATTTTATAATAGCCAAGATGTGGAGGCAGCCTGGGTGTTTGTCGATGGATGAACAGGTAAAGAGAAAGTGGTACATATCCTGGGGGTGTCAAAAAGATGTATACACATGACTTGTATTCATCTTTTGTTATTGGTATATATTGAGTATTACAATTTTAGAAGTTTTTTCCTTTCTTAAAATGTGTATACATTTTTTTGGCAACCTCTGTATACAACGGAATATTGTTCAGCTATGGAAAGGAATGGATTCTTGCCATTTGCGGTGGCATGGATGGACCTGGAGGGTATTGTGCTGAGTGGAGTATGTCAGACAGAGAAAGACAGATGCAATGTGATTTCGCTTCTATGTAGAATATAAAGAACAAAATAAACAAAATAAAAGCAAAGTCAGAGGTACAGACAACACTTTGATGATTAACAATGGGAGGGTGTTTGACAGGGTGGGTGATAAAGGGGAAGGAATTAAGAAGTACAAATTGGTAGTTACAAAGTAGCCATGAGGATGTAGGGTATATACAGCATAAAGAATATAGTCGATAATATGATAATAACTATGTATAATGCCAGGTGAGTACCAGACTAGTCAAATGTCTAATAACTATGCTGTACACCTGAAATTAATACAAAATAATATTGAGTGTCAACTGTAACTGAAAAATTAAAAAAGGAGGGGAAAAGGTGCAATAAGAGGTCCAAATTTCCAGGTATAAAACAAGTAAGTCATGGGGATGTAATGTACAGCATAGGGAATATAGTAAAACCTTGGATTGCAAGTAACTTGGTTTGTGAATGTTCTGCATGATGAGCAAACATTTGTAATACATTTTAACTTGAAAAACAAGCGATGTCTTGCAATAGGAGTAGTTTGTTTTGGAATAATTATGCTTGCAAACCAAGGTATTACTGTATAGTCAATAATATTGTGATGGTGTGGTACAGTGTCAAATGGTTGCTGGATTTATCATGGTGATCACTTCTTCAGGTATATAAATGTTGAATTGAATAACTATTGTGTACACCTGAAACTGATATAATGTTGCATGTTCACAATATTTTTCAATAAAAATCTTAAAAAAACCAAACAATAATTGATGGAATGATTCAGAGTGCTGATATGGTTAATCCAGATCATCTTCCCAGGTACATTCTAAGTTCTAAGAGAGTGAAAACAATCATAAGGATATAATAATTCCCTTTTTTCCTGATGAGTATACTGAGATTGAGAACTTTGAACAACTTGCCGAAGAAAACGCAACTAGAAAGCCACACAGATGGAATCTGAACTCCTGGTTATCCTATATACTATTATCAGATACATCTAAAATGTTGGTTTGACCTAGAATAAGGAAATATATAGCTCATGAATAAAATCTAAAGCTCTGGTGCTCAGGTTCGTCACCTGCAAAATAAGGTTGGTCTAGATCAGAAGCATGCAACTCTCCCGTGCCACACACACCACTTTGCCCCTCAAAAAACATATTTTGTAGAATTTCAAATGTATAAAACAACTAAAAGTAGTCCTTTGGGGCCTTGAGCCCAAAGAACAGCATGAAACAGCTATAACAGATGATTTCTAAGATCCCTTCCTTGGCTTTTAAGTCAAGACAATCTCTAAATTTCTATGAATTAGAGGAATATTAAATTATATGTATACTCAAGGTTATATAGATTAGTTTTTTATAACATACTGTGGGTAGGATCTCTGATTTATTGGATGCCAAATCAGAAACAAAACTCTCAATTCAAAAATGTTTCTTGTAAGAAACAT